AGCAACTATACCTACTTCAGGCAGATTTTGCTATATACCACTAAGAAAATTATTGTATTTACATATATGACACCTAAGTTCTATTATTTATATTTATACCACCAAACAATCCGTGTTGCTCGTCGTCGTCGCTCCCGTTTTGACCGCACACAATAAACTAGAATGATTTGGTAAATGTCAAGGAAAAATTGTTAGCGGAATGTAAAGAATTTCTTACAATTACACTTGTTTCATAGTTTTAATTATATGTGTCGACTGATGAAAATAAAATGAAATTGTATTTGCACAGTAAAATTGAGGGTCAAATCTCAAAATCAAATCAATAGGTGTGAGGGATATGGGTGAAAAAAAAGGAGTTGATTGATGCGGACGGCTCATCCACCAATAGCCTTTTCAAGAACTGGGTGGCCATACTTTCTTGCCGCACTTGCTTCGGGACATAATTAGCTTAGACTTTATCATAGTTAAATATGTAAATAATCTTTTTGGCTTGATTTAATATAAGAATAGTATCTAATGCTTCTTAATTTTTCATACTTTTTGCTGCGCTAGTACTGTTATGATTTTATGATTTTTTTTTTATAACTATGATCAGTCATAGAATCCATATAATACATGTACGTCATGTTGAGTAAATCAATGACCAAAATTAAAAGCTCAAATAGTTGACAACATTTAAAAAATATTTAAAATTATTTCAAGTGACATATATGTATGTATTTCCATATATATACACGAAGAAGAACCAAAATGAGGACTACCCTTTGCTCCCCACATAAATGAAATAAGGGACTTTTTTTTCTTTTGTAATTTGACATTTTCTAATAGGTAAACTTCAAGCGAGTTCTAGTATTCAAAATTTACATTTTTACCCAAAGAAGAATAGAGTTTTGATAAAAAAAAAAACAAAAAAACTTTTTCAAGAAATCTCAACATGCAAGAGGTCAATTTTTAGCCCTTAAATAATTCATCTAGTAGTTCCTAGTCATAATAAATATGAGTTTTTATCATTGGATATATATTTTTCTATAATGATCTCTAGACTCCAACAAAACATGTGAGATTTTAAATAATAAATAATAAAGAGAAACTTTAAGAAGAAGAATAATAAGAAGAAGAAGAGTGGAGAGGGAGAGTGGGAGAAAATGAGGAAAGTTTTTAGAAAGAAAAATATTTGAGATTTCTATTTGTGATATAAAATATCCAAAAAGTTAATCATGGAATAATATCTAGTTGATTCTCTATTTATAAGCTTTTTTAATGGTAAAAGAAATGCTACACTTTAACTTTCATAATAATGAATATAAAAAATATTTGAGAGGATAGTTACAAAGATATGGATACAATGAATGAAATGCTAATGACTAAAAATGAATAACTAGTCACAACACATAGTTGCTGGTAGAAAGATAATGCAACTTGGGCATGAGAGAGTGACCCTTCAAATTAGGAACTGATCTTTATGAGTACTTCATGATTTCTAGAGAGCGCAAATTGGTATGGGTCCTTTTTTTATATTCATTTATAACACATATTATTAATAGCCTTTTTATAATTATTAAAAAAAAGAAGTTATCCAAGCATTCTAATCATAAAAATAAGCTTAAAAATCACCAAATTTGAGTATTTTTGTATCATAAATATTCCAAAATCTCTTATTTGATTTGGCCTTTTCGTTATGAAAAACTTAAGAAATGGCTAAATATATGAAAGTGTTGAATTCAAATTTGTTCTATGAGGCATGCCCAAAGATCAAAATGATAGAGGCCTTAAGCGGGAAAAAGAAAGAGACGGAAAATGAAAAAGAAAACATAGATTTGCCCCGTAAAGGTGAACTAGGGTATCCCCGAGAACTTATTTTATATATAAAAAATAACAGTTACATTGAGAATGAGAGAGAGAGTTCTCCTTTTATCATGAAAGAAGAGCCATTTTTTACATGTTATGGTTTAGGGCTCCCTATCTATAAGAGAAGAACCACATAAAATCACATGTTTGACCATACTTTAATGAAGAAGCTACATGCAATTATTTTTATTTTATTAATAACCGGCTTTAATGTGGGAGTAACAATTCTTTATGATATCTTTTATATAATCATTTTTTTTTTTTTTTGCACATTTTCATCATCTATCTTTTTATTTAAACAATTAAATTGCCTCGAGATTTGGGCATACCATTTTTTGGTTTACACAAACGTATTAAAAACTCTTGTATTTTTGTATTGCTCAAGATGACTAATTTAGATACCATAAGCTTTTAATGTTGATACATCTAAACTTTGTATTTACAATACTTCTTCTTAAATTGAAACGAGAGCATTAATGAAGCAAATTTTTCATTAATTTTATATTAATTCACAGAACAAACCACCACATTCTTTTTTATTATAAAATCAATCCTAGGCCTTAATAATCGACGCAATTATAGGAATTTATATATGGATTGGGGGAAACAGATTCACACATGTAGTTGGCAGGTCAAGTCTGAAATGTTAATTTTTTTTTTAAAAAAAAAGTACCAATCAATTTCCTTTTGGCTTCCCAGAAAGCTCTCGTTTCACCTTTGAAAATACAAATCTTGTCAGGAATAAAACTATTGCGAAGAAAAAAAGTAGTTTTTAAACGCGTTTGTTTGGACACCAACTGAATTCCAAACTGTTCCCACTTTGTTTATTTTTGGCGATTTTTTCCACTCTTTTCAAAAGAAGCTGGAGTTGCCGACATGCTGCTGATTTTTATTTTTATTTTTCTAATTAACAAAAGTAGATATAGAAGGAAAAATTTACATTCATACCACAAAAATTATTATATAACATTTTTTTGTCAAAGATTTTTGCATAAAAAATGTAATTCATTTTTAATAATAGTAATCACAAATTTTTAAGGGGCATATATATAAATATCACCAAATTCTTATATATTTACATTTATAATAACAATATAATTGAAGAAATTTTACAAAATTAACTTTAATTTATGTCAGAATAGTTTACAAATTAAACTGTTAATATACTAGCGGAGAAAAATAATGTAAAAATAGTATCAAAGAAAGCCATTATTTTCCAACATTAATGTTAGTATCAACGTCGTCGTCATCATGGGTTAGTATGAATAGAGCCAAATGACAGCTTGAATCCGTTTAGCACATAAAAGAAATTTGAACGCTAGGAATAAGATTTGAGAGTGATTGATGGGGATTGGGGGGGTTTAATATTAATCACACTTTAATAAAGAATGATATTCTCAGGATTTTCCTTTGCTATATGGAAGCTATCTTGTTGGCCTTGCTCAAGTCATTCTAAATCTTAGGATTATAAAAGTGATTAATAAAGTATTAAAGTGAATGGCTGTGAAAGCGAGATGACTTTAAAATCGGTGAAGAGAAAAACATGCTTTCTCACCTAAGGATTTGAATGACTTGATATGATACATAAAAAAGGAACGTTGGAATACATTAAAAAGAGCGCAAATATCAATAATAACTTCTCTCTCTCTCTCTCTCTCTAGGAAATATTACGTGTATTCATGTCTGTCGTCCGGATGTTCGGTTGGCAACCTGAATTGCATCACATTATCACTATGCAATGTGGCGTAGTGCAATGCGTGCCATCATTCAGATGTTCGTTATTCCGAACATAATATTTTCTCTACTTGATTGCTCTATGAGTAGGTTTCAGCAATCACCGCAGATAGCTTTAGATCCAACAGAACTAATAGTAGTACGGCCATTTTAATTGTGGCAGATCTCCAATGTTTTAACACCCACAAATTTAATAATAAACAAAATGTTGAAATACAAGTAATATTAAAAAAAAATTAAGTTATATAAATCAATTTCCGCAAGATAATTGTTCAGTACATAGTAATCTGAAATTAACTGTGCACAAATATTTTCTCTCGCTCATATTTATACCAAAAATGCCAACAGAATATTTTGATTTTCAATGGCCTCTATAAAATCCGAAGGATCCTTCTTGATACAAAACATAATTAAAAATTAAAACAATTGAGAATCCGAAAGAATATTAATAATGATATGCAGATCATTTGTAAAATAAAATAAAAATTTTATGTACTGACATGATAGGTGCATGTTGGGTGTGAATTAGTGGTATTTGGATGATGTTGGGGTGCAATACCACCCCAATACCATGGTCCACACATACAGATGTTGTACGTAATATTCACACAAAAAAAAGAGGCAAGAACAAATAGCAAATCGATATAACATTGTTCCGATTTTATTAAATTCTATGCTCAAGAGACAACCCAGGTCTCAATGCTTTTATTAAGTTTAGAAAGAAAAAAATTTTAAATGATTTCTTTAACAGTACCATAGTAAAATCAATCGACCACGAGAAATATTTACGATATGCATAATATGAATCCACATCTCTATAAATGTTATCATGGGCGGAACCAACATAATTTTTTTAGAGGGTGCAAAATGATTGGATAAAAAAGTATATCAAGAGGGTGCAAAATTAATCAATTGCCTAAATTTTATTAAAAAAAATATTAAATTTTACTATTTATATAGAGGCATCTTAAATTTTAGATGGAAAAATTGCCCATCTAAGACATAATTTGGTTCCCCCCCTCTACATTACAACATACCCAACATGGATTCACATCCTAATTTGTCTTATATCTTATGACTAATTAGGCGAAAGATTGACAAGTGAAGAAATGTGAAGTGTGAGAAGAGAAAGAACCGAGCAAACCCTTTATGACACGAATGGATGTCATAAGCTTCGACAAATCATTAAAGAACTCTACAAATCAAATCCCACAGGAGCTACAGGGAGCAGATTTAAGCAGGATTCAAGTAAAAATCTTGTCAGACAAAAAAAATGATAATTTTAAAATCAAAGATTTAGTAAATCCAATTTCTTCTCATTTCTTTTCAGCCCATAACTTCAGAAGCCTGAAGCCCAGCCCGAGTCCATTGACCGGAGCAATCCAGTCCACAAGGGACCATTCCACGGCGCTCAAAGAGACCATGCCGGCCGATTTTCTGCCGCCCAATCAATCTCTGCTGTTCTTCGTCGAATCGTTTGCTCTCAAAGCGCTGAAGAGCTTCTTACCCTACTCATCGGTGGCTGAGCGAATTTGTTTTGGTCAATCTCTCTTCTCTATCTCATACCATTTTTGAGTTATTTGATCTTTATTTTGAATTGATGGGTGGAGACGGGATGGAATAATTTTTTCTTTTCGCTATAATATGTGCATTGATGCTATTATTTTGCGACGGAAAGAATGTTTGCGCAAGCAGTTAGTTTTTACAAAGCATGCATCATTGCTATCGTCGCAATTCGGATTTCTGTGGAATCATTCTATTTGCAATGCAATCCCTGTTGGCTCGCAGTGCAGAAGGGCATAATTAGGGTTTTGATTCTGAAATGTCCTCTTGGGTTTACATGCATTTTTCTTGCTCGATTTCGTACTTCGAATAATTTTTTTTTCTTCTTGGAATGAGATAATGTTTGTTTTTTGTTTTTGTTTTTGGAATTGTAAGAATTGGAAGGTGACGGATGATTCATAAGTGACATTTATATAGGGCGAGTTTGAATAGGTAGAGAATATGATGAATCTATGTTTGATCTTTGGGAGGATGCGCTACACAAACTCTAAGTGTTGGTTTGGTTGATCAAGTTTTCTTTGGTCCTCATGACCTAATGGTCTTACTACCAATAACACATTCCTATTTAAGCTATTCCTATGAAGAAGCTGGCAAAGTATTTGCCAGAGCCAACTAAGGGTTTTTCATTAGCAGAACTTGCTAGTTCTTCTTGGCCATAGAATTCGCCGACGGGACACGAACTGGGCAAGGAAATTCGGCTTAACTTATTTCTGATTGGACAACACTTCAATTAAACTCGCTTGTTATACGACTCAGCTACATTGAGTCTCTTTTATGTATATATTTTTGTACATTATCATGTAGGTTCTGTACAATTGAACCTGGAACGCATCTATGAATAAGGGCTTAATGTGTGGCGGGGGCGGGGGCGGGGTGGAAATCATGTTGTAGTTTTTGCCAAAACTTTTATTTAATCTTTGTTTCTCTCTTTCTATATTTTTTAGGCTCTGTTTTACTATGTCTCTATGGTCTAGGCGATCGATTGCTTCCTTTGTAAACAAGTCATTGAATCCGATATCTTTACTCTATTTTTTATTTGGATTTGATCCGTGTGTCAAGTAAGGGGTCTTGAATTATGCCAGTCAATTTTGGATCTAACATATAAACAATGAGGAAGGAAGTGTTCGGTGGGAATTTTCAATTTACTGGTAGAAAGGTTCTTCTAGTTTGAATCATGACTGTCCTTGTATTTGTGCTGCCACAAGCACCCTGGTAAGAAAGTTGCCTAATATGTCTAATTTGTTTTTGTCTCAATCTAAATTTGGACGTCAGAGACTTATAGATCGCATTTGGATGCTGGGGATTTGAGTGAAAGTAAATGAAGAAAACTGGTTGAAAAATTCAAATCAGCAAACGTAGATTCATTATCTATCAATAAATTGTTAGGATTTCATTTCATTTGCTGGTTGATTGGTTCATTAATTTCATTTATATTTTGCTAATATAGAAATGGAGACGGATTGGTTAGACTCATCAGAATCTCGTTTGAATGACAAGAAATATATCAAGGAACTGGAGAAGGAGCTAAAGAACTGCTCTCTTGAAATAGGTAAAATTCATGCTGGTTTTTCTTCCATAGAATACAATGGTGATTTCATATCTATTACATTATCTCCTTGCAAGCAATAATCTTATTCCTCGGCTTTTTTTGTATAAATCTTTCCACATTAAAAAAATATATATATTTGTGTGTGTTTTCCTTTAGTTCGGTTGCAGGTTACCTTGAATCGTTGATACCTGCCACTGCAGGTTACCTTCAGGATCAGCTAGGACTGCGTAGTATCGAGGCGAATTGTATGAGTGAGCTTGTTCACAGCCTAGAACTGAAGCTTGCCGGTGTGGGAATGTTGCAGGGGAAACCAATGCTGTTGACTGAGAAACTAGTGCAGTCTGATGACAAATGCCTTCAGCTGACTCAGGAAATAAAAAGCAAAGATGAAGATTTCAAAAATTATGCAATGCGGATAGAGGAACTTGAAGCGGCGATATCATCTACTGCTTTGGAATCTCAATGTGAGATAGAGAGCCTGAGACTTGAAATGATAGTTTTGGAGGAGAGATGCTTTCAAGCAGAAAGTTTGAGCCAGCAGATGGTTCAAGACAAAGCTAAGATGTATGAACTCTGGGAGGAATATGAAATGCAGCTACATGAATCACAGGATACAATTAGCTTCCTTGAGATGGAAAATAATCGACTAAAAATAGAATTAGAGAGATCTGAGAATAAATTTAAAGGATTGCATTGTAAAATTGAAGAGCAACTATCTAACTGGTTCGAGGAGATTAGCAGGACAAATTTTAGCATGCATGGAGAACCTCATAATAGCTCATCCTCTGGCGAAAATGAAAAGCCTTCTTCGTTCAGTGGAATCTGGTGAGTTAAGCTCTCTTTTATTAATTTGCTTGTATTCTACTATTGATAACTATAAACAATTCTCCTTTGGATTTTACTAAGAGGTTAGTTGATTGGAATGCTTTATATGTTCATTGATATCGTCAGCATTCCATAAATGAATGTCATATATGGTAGCGAGAATTGGCTTCAATATTCTCTCAGGTATTTAATTGCATTAGTTGAAGTTGATTTACCCTAAATTATAATTTATTTATCTCCCTACCCCTTTTTTGTAAAATATGTAAATCTTTCATACTTAAATCCAGTAAGAAAAAAATGATTAAAAATAGTTAAATAATCAAATAACTTACTGTAGGTGATGCTCAGGTGTGTAGGTTGCTAAGACTAACGGATTGAATCATTTACATAGCTTTCTGGGTTATCGTGTAATGAGCATTAGTGTGGCACTGGAATGCAGCACAAGCAAGAGGTGCTGGGACGATGCGTGAATGAACTGTTGGGATAACAAAAACGGAGCTTGCTAGGATGTCACACGAGCGAGTGAAACTAGCATTTAGCACCGGCAAGAGGAGCTGGGACGATGCACGAGCGAGAGGTGTTGGAATGTCACAAACAGAGCTCGTTGGGATGCCCCATGCCCCACGAGCAAGTGACATTGGGATGCAGCACTCACAAGATGCTTTAGGATGTCGTGCGAGCAAGAGTTGTTAGGTGAGAGCTGTGGGATGTGGCACCTACAAGAGCAAGCAGAGATCGTTGGTGAATTTATTAGTTATTTTTCCAAACCACATTCTAGCACCAGCATTGATTTTTTGAGTCTTTTGCAAAAGATTGTTTTCACCACGAAAATTCCACTCATAAGATTGTTCGAAGAAGAGGATTGTCTTCTATTATATAGGATAACCCGGGCCACTTATTTGGATAAAAACCAAATTAAAAGCTAACTTTAGTTATATATATTGAATACCTATTGCTGTATGTAGGCTTGTGCGTTATTGTTCTTTTAGCTATATGCATGACTGATCATTTATTTTCTATATATGTTGCTACAATACCATTTGTTATTAAATTCAGTTGAGTGGCATTTAATCGTGGTAAGTATTATTGCATTTTCTGAAGCACTTGTGAAGAAGTTTTGTGCCCATTGGTTTCAAAGCTTGCTCTCATAACAGCTTGGGACGAGAATATGAAGGATGAGATGCAGAAGATGGCATATGAAATACAGGAATCTGAGCTTCTGGTGGAGAAGCTTAAGGTTTGATCCCAATTATACTTTGTCAATAGCTTACGCAGTGCTCTTATTGCTTAGAGGTAGTTTTTGTTGTGTTAGGAAGAACTGAAGGAGGAAAAATTGAAGGCAAAGGAAGACGCGGAAGATCTTACTCAAGCAATGGCTGAATTGAGGTATGAAATCACAGGCATGCTTCAGGATGAGTGTAAACGCCGGGCTTCTATAGAGCAATCCTCTCTTAGACGAATCCAAGATTTAGAAGAGCAGGTGTATATTTTTACAAAATTTTGTGATCTCTTTTTTTATTATTTTGTTATAAATTTGATGAATTCGTACAGTTTACTGCAATGTCATCTTTATCATCAATAGTATAATGGTTTTTCATTTGAGAAATGATTTATTTCATAGCTGGCAATTTGGCATTTTTAAAACTAATTTTTCATTTTACTCTTTTTAAATGCATTTGTACTTGGGAACAAGGTACAGAAGGAGCAAAAAAAATTTCTTTCAGTTATAAGATTTTTACAAGAAGTACATAAAGTATCCGAAACGAATTGTAATGAAGTTCAAGCATCCGAGGTACGAGATGATGATTTTCAACACTTACGAGAGGTATGGTTCTTCATTATCTTGAATTTCAATGTTTATACATTTTATGAGTTTATGCAATCTAATAAAAGTAGATGTGTTGTCTTGGTCTGCCCCTTGTGTGCTCTAAATATTCAACGACCGCTCTCCATGAATACTCTCTGCAATTATTTTATAGTTTTGTTTTGAGAGAGCTTTGGCGGTTGAATTTTTAGAAAACAGATTGCATTATAGATAATACACTACCTAGAGATTTCACCCTCATTTAACGAGGACGTTTTGATATGGGGTTTGAGGTAACCCATTGGCGCAACCCTTTATGGTTAATTACCTCTCCCGATAACGGGAGAGCGGTTTTTATAAGGCCAATCTTTAATAATTGAATATTTAACATATAATAACAAGAGACTTAGGATTTAAATTGTAGAATTCACCACTTGGAGCTTAAAGCGAATGGTGGGGGAATGAAGATGAAACCCGATCAAGATTCCATGGTTCTGGCATCCCGGGTCATCATGGTCATTGATCTACTTAATCAGATGAGGTAGTTGACCCAACTTGACAGGAAAGATTTTTGTCAGCAGCCATAAGTTGCATTATCCAAGAGATCCTTGTAGATCTGGGGTAGATATTTGTCTAAGGGGACAAATTTAAGTCGATCTTAGCTAACAGAAGACTTTGTGTCAATCAATTGTATATTTATGATTTACAACTTAAAGAGTAGAAAATCTCTAAGGAACATATGGGCTGCTATCATGACGGTAATATAATGGTGTCATTTGACGGAAACCACCTGGTCAGGGGCTCTGGTCATAACTGTTGTTTTGTGGTGTCATTTAACAACAAAATAACACAGAGAAAAGACTTGGGTCATGTCTTTACTGACATGCAATTACTTTGATTGTGAATGTATTGATACATTTGATATGACATTCGTTCTTTGTGAGTTGAAGTCAATCAAAAGTTCAAAAGTTTGTCACCCTCCCTCGACAAACTGTTGCACTGAACAGATGCATTTTGCTTTTAGCTTGTAAGTGATTGAATTTTGCTTTACACATTAGTTAACTACTTTGAAACGTTTGATTTTAACAGGGCCATCATCGTAGATTTTAACATTTTAAATTTTTTATATTTAAAAGAGAGACATTTAATTTGTTAGTTTAGACTTTTAAGGTATAAGTCTTGTCGACTCCGGTCCTTAAAAAGAGGAGAATCAGACTAGTTTGGTGATTTGGACTTATAAATTCTTATTTCAGAATTTAGACATTTATTAAGGCTTATTGGACTTGTCAACTCCAGTCTTTACGAGGAGGATCAAACTAGTGTGGTGGGACTTACGAGCCTGCCCTATACAAGACGACCCGATCAACACAATATTCTCGAACCCAATAGTTGGGCATTCAACATATTGTTTAGAGCATATGCATGCATTAAAATTTCACAAATTTGAATATCTTTTTATAAGCTTTAAAGACTTATGTTGTGTGTGTTCTGAATTGGAGAGGATGACGAAGTGTTGATTGTAAGAGAGGCCTTCGGATCTTGTGCAATTTTTAGTGGACAAAAGGAAGCGGGGAACGGCAGAGAGATGGTGACACTGCGAATGAATAAGTGGGAAAGGGCTTACAACTTGTGGGAAACAAAGAAAAAGAACTCGCGGGAAACAAAAGTGAAGAAAAAAAAATGCAAGCCTATGTGATGGTGTAGCGCAGCAAGACTTTGACGATTTGGTGCAATTTTGAGCGAACAAAATAAACAGATAGTTGTGTTTTGTTGCGGCTGCGTTGCTTCCCATTCGGAGAGAAAGGACGAAGCAAGGGGATGACGGGAAGAATAAAGGCTTTGAACTAGGAAAGTGAGGATCGAGCGACAGAGACAAAGGAATTTTGGGAGACAAACGAAAGGGAACATGACGGAGATCTTAAGAATGGAAATAATATTAAGGGGATGTTTGAGGAAAAATTATTGCATCAGGAGTTCTGGTGCAGTTTGCATTAGGACTCCAATCAGGATCTGCCACATTACAGACAGACCCATCCTAGTAAAAAAAAATTAATTTAATACATGGGTGTGTCTGCCTGCACAAGTGGTAGGCCCTGATTGGAATTCTGATGCAAAACTGCATTAGGACTTATAATGCAATAATTTTTCCTGTTTGGGGGCACTTGCCCTAGGAAGCTGCTGTGGGGAAGCTGTTATGGATAAGTTGGCTGTCTGTTTTGTTTTTTACAGCTGTTTCTGGAAGAACAACCATTCTGCCCTATGTAGTATTGTTGTTTGTAACATAACTGTTGTAATAATATATCTGATACATGAGAACCAAAAAGTCATTACAGAACAATATAAAAATTATTATACACATCTGAGTATCAAGATTACTAAATAAATAAAAAAACTATTAAAATTACATTTAATAATATGAAGGTATGAAGATTGAGGCAGTTGCCAACCATCAACCAGTCCAACCCACAGCCATCATCCTAACCCACAACCACCACATCAGCCCAAAAGCATATGCCCCAAACACAACACGACTACCACCCCAACCCACAGTCATATTCCCCAACCCACGACCATATGCCCCAACCCACAGCTACCACCACACAACACACTGGCCAACACAGCACAACCCACAACATTGATAACACAACACAACCCATAGCTCTGACCAACACAACACTGACCAACACAACACTGAGACACTGACCAACACAACACTGAGCAGCTACAACATTGACCGTCATAACAATGGCCAACCAACACACCACTGACCAACACAACACTGAGTAGCCACAACACAGACCAACACAATAGTGGCTGATCAGTACAAACCACAGACCAACACAACAGTGGCCAACCATCACAACACTACACAACAACACAACAACACCAAACTGTGAAAAGAAAAATTAGCATTAACATACATGCCATCGAATTTCTATGTATTTACATATCCAACATCTAAACATTATTTTTTACATGTATACCAACCAAAACCTTTCATTTCACATAAAAAACACCATTTCAACATTAAAAACTGCATCAAATTAACTACTCAAGAATGAAGTGGTACGCATGTAATCTTCCATAAAAATGACATCAAACTAACAGCTACTCAAACACCATTTCAACATAAAAAACGGCATCAAAGTAACTACTACTTAAGAATCGAGTGTTATGTATGTAATCTTCCATAAGAATTGCAGTATAGGTGGAAGATATGTAAGTGCATCAAAATTGAGTGGTATCTATTAATCTTCCATAAAAAAACGGTAGCAAAGTAACATGCTCAAAAATTGAGTGGTATGTATGTAAACTTCGATAAAAACTGCAATTGAGATGGAAGATATGTGACTGTATCAAAATTGAAGTGTTATGTAATCTTCCATAAAAACGACATCAATCAATGCTTACCACAGGGGAACAAAGACGGGAGGAACTGGGACGATATAGATCGCAGAGGGTGAGAAGGAGAAGAAGAAGCGAGAGATCGCAAACGATGAATGCAGGTTAGGGCACACAACGATCTCAATGCTCCAAATCGCGAAAAAGGAGGGCAACGCGGTAAAAAAATCAGTAAGAAATGTTGGTCGCAAGGTCAAACCCGCAACCCTCGTTTTAGGCAAAACACGACTTGTTGCGCCCCCAATGCCTCCCCAAACAGCTCAACTTAGCGTTGTGAGGCTGTGCCGCAGCCTGAACTCCGCCCTAAATGGGGCCTAAGTCCGGAGTCCGAACGTAAGCTGCGTCCGGACAATGACTGTGATCCACCGAATAGAGTGGAGGGAAAAATAAAAAGACCTCCGGTGGATCGCAGTCGTTGTCCAGAGGACTTTTGGACGTAATATTTTTTCTTGCGAATGAGGGGTTACCAAGCCATTACACGACTGTTGCTTCAACATAGGCGCGAACGGTTATGCTGTCGAGTGAGGGCGGGGAGCACGGATGTATAAAATTTTAATATTAATTAAATTTAATTAACCTAATTAATAAATATTATTTAAAGTTTAATTAACCTAATAAACAACATTAATAATTTTTAATAATTTTATTTTTCTTTTAAACGTAAACAACCCCCTCACATTTCATCATTTATTTAAAAACACTTCATAGAATAGCCTATATTTTGCTACTTCTGCAAAACTATTCCACTATAATGGTATTCGTAGTCTAAATGATTGATTTTTGGGTGTAGCATTGAACACGGTCCATATGTAAGTCAATGCAGTTTTTTCAATGCACAGATATGTTTTACTTGGAGCAAGTGATAATGAGAATTTTAAGGACCTTTGAAACTCAAAGCAACCTAAGTTATGCTAAGGATCAGGGAATGAATCAGTAGGGTTAGTTGTTTTGAACCATCACCAAAACCAACTCTTTTGAACAATTATTTCCAATGATGTAGCGTGATCTGTCTAATTAGCCAAGTGGATTAAGACTGACTTTTGTTGTTACTAGTTAATGATAAACATCGATGCATCTGTGCATAATTGTGTATCTGGGTCTCTAGATGCATGAATTCAAAATGAGAAGGTGTCTATGTAAAACATAATGCATTAGCGTTTATTTCAATACGTTGCATGAAATCACCTGGTTATTGGAATTTAATGAGATATTGACAATTCAGAGGTAATGATTTGGGGACTTTGCAAGATGTTTAGGTTTTTAGAGTTTAGGGTTAAGAGTTTGGAATTTATGATTTAGGTCATACCACCTTATGACTCGTGTAAGGCTTTCAGTTGGGCGAACCAGTCCTGATCATATCTTTAACTGCTCGTTATCAGCCTCTGGCCTTAAAATAAACCATCCGTAATCATCCCCTGGACCTTCTCATAAAATGGATCCCTTATTTTCTACAAGCTACACATAGACCAATTGTGGTCCGTTTATAAAAGCAATGGCAGCACAATCGTGTAGATGTCATAAGCATATTTATTTATATTAAAAAGAAGGCAACTGCACGACCAATGAGATGCCATAAGAAGCGTTTATAACCCATGTTAACTTAAATTTTACAAATTTTCCTCGGGGATGGCTTTATAATGTAATGAATGAGTAAATGGCCGAAATGTTCTTTTGACTATTTATAGTATTTATTTGGACGTCAATATTTTGTTTCCTCCAATCAGGTAGCTAAGTTCACGGAGACTTGTGAGTGACATACATAAAGGGTGGCCAATTTAAAACTTCATTATGGCACCCCTAACATATTAATGTTTGGCCAAGGATACGATAGTAATCAGTTGGTACATAATTTTATCGCTATATATTATCTGAAACCGAAATGATCAAAATACACCTTTTTCAAGCATTGGTTTATGATACCCAGCTCTTTTAAGAGTAAATATCAAAGTTTAAGTGTTAGATATGTAAATAGATGAGAATTGTGTGGTATGTATGTAAATTTTCCATCTGGAATTTTTAAAAATTACCAATTTCACCAAGTCTGCCAAAAAAAAAAGATTTAAGACGTGGGATTTACCACTTTTCTCCACATTGAATCTATTGTGGACTCAGCCGAGCCAAAAAAAGAATCACCGCCAGCATCAAGATGCGCATTATCCAAAAGTGCTTACAATTTGCTCATTTTAGGAGATGAAGGCCTAATCCTCTATTGATTTTATTTTTTCTTCTAAAATTTTTTTGGCTTTCATACTCATGATCACATCATTGATTTTAATATAGATTACTTGGTTTATGTTTCTACACTTTATAGTAGCGCAATCATTCTTAAGAGAAAAATAAGAATTTTCACATGATATACAAACGCCAATTAAAAATGTCTAGTTACTATTTAAATGTCATGGACCACATATGCTTAATTCCATAGTTTGAAAGACAATGAAAATCATAATTTTTTTTTTTTTGCAATGGAAGTGATCCATTAAAAAATGATGATTTTGCTTGATGATCAATAATTTTTAAAAAATGGAGGAATAACAACAAACTATGTTTAGTGATGCTAAATGTTTTATGTACTTGGATAACTACCCATTTAAATTTGATGTTATGAATTATATAGAAGAATAAAATTGTTAATAGAATTTGAAGAACTCTAAAGATTATTTAATATCAGGCTTTCTGAGTGATTACAGATAGCTTTTAATCAAATTTATTCTTTTGGCATGCTTGATGAATGTTAAAATTTTTCAGAAAATTTGTTGAGACTTGATTTGTAAGTAATTTTCCTGCAAAGGTCAATTCAACAGTATAATCGTAAGTTTGAAGATCATATTATGTATGTATATATATATATATATAATCATGTATTTCTAATCTATATTTAAATATCCTTTGATATTTTAATGTTGTAGCATCTGCATTATTCCCTTTCAATCCCTAAGTGAGGAATTTGATTTCAGGGCTCACATCAGATAACAAACCTAGAAGCAGCGCAGGCGCAGAAAATTGTTTTGCCCTGTTGCAGTGGCAATGGCATTCCAGACAACCTATTGGATTATTTAACTAACTCAATAATGGATCATTCTGATAATAGAAATAGAAGGCTTTCCAATTCAGCTTCATTAGAGTGGAAGCCCAGTTCAAGTTTTCTGATTGACGAAATACCCAAATAGGACACTTTACATAGACTACACAACATTAGAGTTATTTTATATGGCTTGTGACAGCCTGCTGATGTGATGCATCTCGTGCTTCCTGGTTTTACTAATTTCAGGCATTTGCGTTCAATTTCATTACAGTTTACTCATAGGAGAGCCATATTTAACCAACTATTGAAGGGAGCTCAATCAAAGAAACAAAACTGCATTTATGAGTAATCCTGGTATGAGTGCAAATCAAATTTATTGATACATTCATTTGAACGGCTCAACTTAGGAGCCTCAATTGACTTGCAATTGTACAAATTACAAAAGATGCCTAATTCAGCAGATCACAAGGTGGGTTACAATTATAATCAAAAGCTTTAGGGAATCTCTGCTGCATGGAAGGCACCCACTACATATTATTTAAGGAAATATGGGTAATATTGATCCCTACGGAAGTAATACAGGCTGTATGCTCCAGATGTCTTTGGCATATTCATGAATTGTCCGATCGCTGCTGAATTTGTGAGACCTTGCTGTATTTAATATTGACATCCTTGTCCACCTCTGCTACATTTTAATGAAATAAATCATGTTACAAGGAAGTCAACATGTATTACTTTTAGAGGAAGGTTTCTGTGAGTATATGAAAGTGCAAGATTAAGTGCTTGGCTTCATACCAATTAATTGTGGAAGGCAATCGGATGTATTGAATTGTATTAGTGCTATTTTGTTATAATATGCATCGAACTGATTCTAAATATTGTAATTATGTTTTGCCTTCATGGTTTTGGATGGTTGCAAGAGATGTCACCTCTTTCTCTCTCTCTTAAACACTCGGCTACATAGTATGATTCTTCCTAAACGTGAGCATTAATGGAGCAAAAAGATGTATGTCAACTTTGTTCTTGAGCACAAATATTATTTCTAGACTTTGAAATGCCCTATCCTAAATGTGAGCATTGATAAAACAATTATTATTTGCTTATGTTATTGGTGCATGTTTTTCCCTTTAATACACATATTTAAGTCTGGTCTATTCTTATAAGCACATATTTCGTAGCTCTCTTTCTTAATTTTATTCTATGACTGGTAAGTTTGATTTCTGTTTTTAGCAGAACTTCAAACATCAAATTTGTTCTTAAAAATTAATAATAAAATATTTATTCAATCATTATGAATCTTCTTATCATTCAAAATTTCATTGAAAATAAATGTTAATCAAATCAAAACATTCCCCATAACTTCCCAAGTCTCAATAAATATATCTTTTGGACCTAAAGTTTTACATTCATACATCTGCATATTATTTTGGATCATATAATATATTTTATTAATTTCCTCATCATGCTTCTTCTTTCCAACTTTCATTTAATAAATTCTCGAAGCAATAACATCATCTTTTTTTAATGTCTTAATCGATGAACTTCATTTTTATTGCGTCTAACATGATCAAGTTGCTCTAGATCTATTATCCCTCATCTTAGCTATCCATTTTTCTTGTTTTCTCATTCCTTTGTATAATGATTACTATATAAATCATTAAAAACTATGGCATTTGTTTTGTTCACTATAGATTTTAAAGATCTTTAGCTTTGGCTTTATCTTTATAAGCCTTAGTTGTATTCAATATTTGTCACTTCTCAAGATTACCCTTTTTTACTCTTTTGCACCTTCTAACTCCAAGACAAAATCGTCTTACTAATGCATTATCTAATTTTATATTCTCCTAAAATTTCAATAATAATTTTTTTAATGGAACTAATTATCTTATCCCACAACAGATTTGAATACTTCCAACAAATGCAACTGAATCAAAACCTGGAAGCAAAATTTACATGCATACCACTCAATTGTCATGTATTTACACATATTATGCCTGAACTTCAATATTTACACGTCATCTTATTTATGCATGAAAAATATATTTTACCCTTTTAAATTTAAAATAGAGGAATTTTTTATGTGATGAGAAAGATTTGGACGGTAAAAATATAAAATCAATGTTTAGATGTTAGATATGTAAAAACATAAAAATTGGGTGGTATGTATGTAAAGGCCCCAACATGGAAATAATGGTTTTTGACAACCAGGAAACATTGATTTCCTTCCAAATATATTTCTTAACAAAAAGAATAACGAGAATGTAAATGTGCAAAAAGCGAATGCAAATGTATAACTTGAAAGGTGGGTTAATAAGCAAAAACTTGCCTTTGGATCTCTATAAGCTTTATCAACCTCATCCATGCATTTCAGGTAATCCGGGAAGTCCTTCCCGACAAGAAAATAGTCTGCACGGCCGTATCCTTTGTCACCTTCCAAAGATCTCATCAGCCCATCATAGTTGAAAGGCCCAAATACACCACTCCGAACATATTTCTTCACTTCCTCGAATCGAGGGTCTGCCACAAACTGCGGTTTAATGGAGAAATGAAGTGATTTAGATGCGTACGGTGCAGGATTAAAGGAGCTCATGCACTAAAATTTAAATCATTATATAAATTGTCTTAGCGCACAAGGAGTGCAGAATTATCTTTGAAAAGATAGTACTATCAAAAGTAATAGCTGATATTATATCAAGGAACAAGGAAGCCACAAGTTGTGTGACAAAAAGAAAACTATTAGGATGTGTGATATAGCCTAATATATATATATATATATATTAGGATGCGAATATGGTTATGATAGAAATGGTACGATAGTATCTATTGAAAATAAATTCACGAAAATAAAATTTGGTTATACAAGAATGTACAACATGAGGTAAAGAATGTACCAATAAGATTTGTAAATATGATTTGTGTCGTAGAAATAGAAATGAGAGTGAGAAAATCAAAGATAATATGAGAGGAAGTTATACAAAACACTACTTTTATTAACTAGACCTTAACACTTTCTATACAGTTGGAATGAATAGAGAATCAGATGTCATAATACTGATTACAAATATATTGACATTTTAAAATCAAGAAGGTAAGGACATGTTTTGGATCACATTTTTTTTTTAATTTTAAAAATATATTTGTTTAGTGCCAAAAATTGACGGTAACGTTAGATAGTTGAAAATCAGTGTAAAACTTTTTGCCGAAATATTATGATATGAATCCTTCAAATTATTGTGTTAATGTTAGGATATCCCCTGAAAGCGACACACCGCATTACCTAAATAAAATAAAAAAAGTGTTTAAAGGCTATTTTACCAACGCTCGAGTATATTGTTCAATAATCAAGGGTTCTTCTATTATATATAGATACGGAAAAAGATATTAATTCATGAAATTAATATTATGATAGAAACTTGAAATATAGACACTCTCACAAGTAAATTAATGGAATTAGTAGATATTATGGTTTATAGTAAGATAAAATATTTTATGCATTCAAGAAATTAAATATGTTGGAGAAAATGCTAACAAGATTGATAATTTAAGTTTTAAACTTTGGTATTTAGATAAGAGTCATACTAGAAATTGCGTTGGTGTAATTATAAATAAGTTTGAAAATTCTATTATGAATATTAAAAATTTATGGAGAGGTTTGATAGAGAAGTACAAAGAGAATAAGGAGAATCTATATATGAATTTTGTTAATTTAGAAAAAGCGTATGATAGAGTTCAAAGAGATACTTTGTAGAGTTCTAAAAAAAAATGTTGATATTGCTTATAATCAAGCAATTAATGTATACAAGGAGGATTGGTCAAGTATTTTTCTATTTTAGTTGGATTACACCAAGGATCAATTTAAGCCCATATCTTTTTGTTTTAGTTATGCTTGTTCTTATTAGGCATTTACAAGAGAATGCATCTTGGTATATGTTTTTCGCTGATGATATCCTTCTTGTGGATAAGACTAAAAAGAGTTCAGAAAAACTTGAATTATGGTGGTCAACTTTAGAGTCTAAAGGCTTTCGTTTGAGTATATCTGAAATTGAATATATTGAATTTAATTTTAACAGTAACAATAAGTGATCAAGTCATTAAAAGAAGTGAGAGTTTTCGATAACTTGGGTCTATTGTTCAAAGTGATGATGATAAACATGAGGATGCTATTAGTATAATTCAAGTTAGATAGTTGAAGTGGAAGAATGCATCGGGCCTATGGTGAGATAGAAAAGTACCGCTTAGACTTTAAAGAAAAAATTTATAAGATCGCGGTGAGACCTGTTATGCTTTAAGATGTAGAATGTTGGTCTGTAAAAGAAAAACATAAAATTAAGTATTATTGAGATGAGAATGCTCATGTGGATGATTGACTTTACACTTAAAGACAAAATGTGAAATTAATATATTCGTGGAACGGTTGGAGTAGCTCCATTGGCAGACAAAATCAGATAGTCATGTCAAATGGTTTGGTCACACGAAATGTCAACCATTTGATGACCCTGTTAAGAGAATAGATGTTTTAGATTTAACTTGTGTTAAGAAACGTAGAGGAAGACCTAAAAGACTTCGGCTTGTTGTGTAAAAAAATTATCTTAATTTATTAGAATTAAATGAAAATATAGCACTCATAGGATACGATGGAGAAAAAGAATCCATTTAGCCAACCCCACTTAGTGGGATAAGGGCTTGTTGTTGTTGTATGTTTAGTGCATTTTTTACATGTTTTTATTTTTTTGATTTCAAAAATATATTAGCTTGTTTTTAAAAATACTCAAAACATTTAAAAATTATTTTAGGTATTTTTAAAAATAACTTAACATCCTATGCTAACTAAAATGTTTTATTTCCTTTAAAAACATATACATATCAAATAAAAATAAAAAATAGAAAGTAAAAATTAAGAGTGGCCCCAAATGGCCTCTAAGCAAGCAATCCTTTTCCTATGTCATTTGTTTTCTTTAGTTGGCAATCCATACCTTTCCTTGAGCTCTTTCTTGTCTTAAATCTGCAATTTCATGTGCTTGAGCACCAAAAAGGAAAAAGTTCTCTTCTCCAACCTCTTCTCTTATTTCAACATTGGCTCCATCCAAAGTTCCAATCAGTACGCAACCATTCATTGCAAATTTCATGTTGCTGGTTCCACTGGCCTCCATTCCAGCCGTACTGCTCAGACAAGAAACATTGATCATGAACCAAATATGAACACATTTTTATAACATCTCCACTAGCAGTAAATTAAGATTTATAACAGAATGACTACCAAATTAAGCTCTAAAGATTGAGAAATATGGAGTCTCGTTATATCTACTCCACAACTTGGCCGCCAAAGATAGAATTTTACACCAAGTCCCAAGACGAGTAGAGTTTACCTGATGTGCTGGGACAGCTCACTAGCAGGAATGAGGATCTCATACTAACGTTGTAATCAGGAATAAATACAACCTGGAGGCAACAAAACCATCAATATTTGATAAATTTCTGAGCACATCAACAGAAAATAGAGAACTTCTAATGAGGGAACCTCTAAAAATCAGTAAAACATGGCGACAAGTTATTGGTGTTGAGAAGTACATTAAAACTTAAAATGTACCTTTAGTAGATCTCCAATGTCAGGGTCATGATTTATGGTAGCCGCAACATCTGTGATGAGCTTCACAATCCTTTTTGCCTGAACATATGTTGCAAACGCTTTACCTCCGAATATGCATACCTTAGGAATGAAGCTCGAAATCCTTTCTTGAGCATCCATTTCTTTCATCTTCTTGTACCGATAAATAATTCCTAGTATGTTTAACAGTTGGCGTTTATACTCATGGATTCTCTTTACCTGAAGTAAACCAAATTTTGATATCCAAACTAAAATTTTGTGGAACAATGCTAATCTGAAAACTCAAATTAGCGAGATAAACTGTTACCTGTATGTCAAACATTGCATCAGGGCTGATAATATAACCCGTCTTCTCCCTGACTAATGAAACAACCTTCATCTTGTTGATTGTTTTTGCAGCCCTCCATTCCTTGTGCAAATCCTCGTTATCAGCATGCTGTTCAAGAAAAGAATCATCAGCATGTTTTTTTCATATTTCTATGGATAATTACATATATAGCAAGTTCATAGAAAAAGAAAAATAATATGGAAAGAAATGTTAAGGAATGCTCATTTAAGGACAAATGGATGCAGAGCAATTATAATGAAAGGGATATAATAAGATAGTCCACAAGAATCATGAACTTAATATAGATTCCAGATTTAACAACTGAATTATCATTGTTGCAGTTCAGTGACTTCAAAGGAGAAAGTGTGAAGAACAAATATCCATTAAATGCTGCACCCTTCAAACAACAGAGCTTTATCAAGAACATAATCTTACATGACTTATTCAGATCGTATTAGCATACCTTCTTAAGTTTTTCCAATTTCTCAGTGTTCACGATCCAGTCTTCTGTACCAATCCACTTGGTTATTATTTTACTTAATTCAGGATTGCAGAATCGGATCCAGCGCCTTGGAGTGACCCCATTTGTTTTATTCTGAAACTTATCAGGCCAAAGCTGCGACAAACAAAACAGAAGAAATCATAAAGATGTGAATTTAGGCTATATTTGCAACACGTTTATACAGATCAGGCCTCCAAAAAATATATGGTTTAGAAGAAAAAAAAGACTCACCCTGTAAAAACTATTAAAAACATCTTTTTTCACAATTTCACTATGAATTTCAGCTACGCCATTGACTGCATGTCCAGCAACAACACACAAATTGGCCATTCGTACCATCTTTGGCAATTTAGGATTGGATTTTAACCAAGTTAATTCTGCAGAGGTAGAATCATTGTCCTCATCTTCCAGTTGGCCTTCAGATTTAGTCACATCACTTACTTTTTCAGCCACATCTATGGTTACTCCATTTTCAGTTGCTACATCTGTAGAAGGCTCTAAAGATTTGATTAAGAGCTTGTTTTTCGATTTAATTTCAGTAGTCCTTTTAGCTTTACTAAACAGCTCTACAACAGAATCAGGAAAATCAACATTTTCTAAAATCCTCATATGCTTCAGTTTTTGCTCCACCATTGAAAGATCTTGTATGCCAAATTCCGAAATAATTTTGTTTATTAGCTGTTACAAACACAAGAAAATCAGCATGTTCTTATGTTATAAATATGAGGAAAAAAATCTATTTGTATTATAACAAGAATCTCCTTGCATACCTCACGGTCTATTTCTTCCATAATCTCAACATGTCGAGGGAGCAGCTTCTGCATAAGTTCCAAGTTCCACTTTTCTAAAGCTTCAGGAAGGACTGTGTGGTTTGTATATGCCACCGTCCTGTAATTATAGCCAAAGAACTAAATTAGGTTGATTAGCAATCATAAGTGCACATTTTCATGGTGGAAATTACTGAATTAAAACAAGTATGTATTCAAGGTTATTGTCTATCACAGTAAACTATGAAACAAATAAAATAAGACTTTAGTTTCCAAAACTTTTCAAGAATAATAAAATATTATAAGTGGGTGGGACGACGCACCAAAAAAAGTTTCCTTTTAGAGCATCAAAATGTGAAAGATCTCCGAGTCTTTTAGTACCTTGGGCCAAATTTATGGTGCTTAGATAAGCAACCTGAGATCCTGTATTCATGTGCGGCTAATATGCCCACATGCGGCTAAAATGCCTCTTGATTGTGGGCATTTTAATCTTGAGAAATTTATTTACGTAGCACACAATTCTTATGTACTTACATATCTCACACCTAGACTTTCATATTAACACACATAACACTTTGGCATTTTAAACTTATTCATGAAAAGATATATTTCACTAATAAAAAATGGTAATATAGCTATTTTTGATGTGACATTGAAATTTAAATGCTATGTGTGTACATATTAGATTTGACATATGAAAATACATAGAAATTGCGGGCTATGTATGTAAATGCCTCTTTAATCTTTTGGTCAAATGAAGGTCAGAGGTCAAAACATGTTAGCTTCGAGATCTTTGTTGGAACATCACGCTCATGATAATGATGGACATAAAAATAGGGGCTCAAGTTTAGCATTGTCGGAGATCTGAATCAACTAATTATGTTTGAGTTGATGGCTTTGAGATTGGTGATTAAGATTATCTAAATCAGAAAATCAAATTTCTGTGTAATCCAGGGATTGGCGGAAATTAAGCGAATCTCATCAAACCATTATCATGGGGCCCACATGAATATTGATGTCATATGATGATGTAGAGGCTAGGACCATGATTAAGTTTGACTTTATTGTATGAAGAGCATGTGGGTAAGAATCTTGACATCTTCGATTAGATAGATGGAATTAATCTATAGCTATAAATTTGTTTAAGGACACATAGTAGCCCCCTTATTTTATAATCTTCTATTAAAACATCCAAAATCTTTTCTCCTTTGACTCATAAAATAGTGTACAAGTGGTTGCACCTTTTAAAGAAGTTGGGGGTGGAGTGACCTCAAATCCTTTGAAGTAAAGATCTTCATTTGAATTTTTCGATCCACAACTCCTAGGACATCGATGTGAGCATCCTTTTAGGATTGCAACTCAAATGACCCTAAATAACTCAATTTTTCTCCTCTAGTGTTTCACTAAATATTGATTTGGACTTATTTTTGCACGAAGGTTAGTACCTCTTGTGAAAATTGCCTCTTATATTGTAGGTTTAAAAATGGAGGGATGTGGAGGTTGTGATGGAGGGCTAAGGCCAGCCAAAGAAGAAGGCCATGCTTGGCCAAGAGCATGAAAATAACCTAGGCAATATAAGGTTTGCAAATAGTGACACTTTTTATCTGAAATCATTTGGAGAATCTATGTCTTCTCCAAAAATGACGCATTGCTTTCTATAGCATTGTCATAACCCTTGTTTCATGGCATCTTCAACACTTATCCTTGCACACCTCCTAGCATTTATAGAAATATAATCACACAACATGTAACCCAGCAATTACACATTGCCCTATTATTACAACAGATAAGCATAGAAACCATGTAAATATAAAAATTGGAAAATAAAAAAGACTAAGATATGACTATAATAATTATTTTGTTGTCGTAAATCTTGTAAGCCTATGAGGCACTACCTCAACTACTCTAGACCCAAAATAACTCTTCCCAGAAGAGTTAAAGTTTGTGAACTCACTTGCAAGTTCTGGAGCAAGCTTGGCCAGCTACTCCAATATAAGCAAAATGTTTTCAAATGATGGCCTACCTTTCCACCTTATCTCTCCCTTCCTACATATGGTGCTTCATCTGATAGAATACTCTCCATTTGAAATAGATTGGGATCAATGGTCACATGTATTTCATTGCTTAGCTCAACTGCAAAATAGCCACTCTAAAGCTCAGTTTGGGATCACTTCTTGTTTTTTATTTTTGTTTTTTTGTTTTTAGTCCATTTTATTTTTCTTTTTTTTTGTTTTCTGATTTAAGTTTCTAGAAAATGTGTTCGAGACTGTTTTGATTTATCTGTTTTTTAAAACAAAAAAATATAAAACTTATTTGGTTGAGTATTTTCTTTTTTTTTTAAGAAAAATCTATAATTCTTAAAAAAATATCATCAATTTAAACGATGTAAATATGTCATGCTCATATATATAAAAATTATAATAATGTTACAACAATAATATAAAACTCGGCGCATCCAATGATGTTCTCTTCTGACAAAACGTAAAATCATGAAGATTGCAAACTAAAATAACACTTATATGTCCAATAATAAAGCAAATGACCTTTCAATCCAAAATAAAATAAATTCAACATTACATTGATAACATTGTGAAATATAAACATACAAAATTTTACAAGCTAACTAGTAAACTCAGTTGTGTGTGTTGCTCCAAAGTTTTCTGACAACATGGTCTCAAAATAGTATCATGTACAACAACTGAGATTGAGAAACATTAACTTCCATAACACTTTGTGAGACAAGAGTTGATGTAGATCCTTTTTCTGTGTCAATCATAAAAATTTCATTTTCGTTATCTCAAATAATATATCTCCTCCGGATAGTGATCTTATAAAATTATGTTGCGTGCAACAAGCTGTACCAATATAATATTGTGTGCGTAAATCATAAGAAGATGTTCTATTAATGATTAAAAATCTTGCTTTCAGAACTTCAAAAGATTGCTCAATATTATTTCTTAAGAAAATACACATAATTAAAGAGTTCTTGTTTTTAAGATTGAGCGCCCTCATGGTAATCACACTAATGATACATTTTTTATTTTGTATGGTGTTAAGAATCTTGACATATTAGCATATCCTGAATTAATAAGATTATATTTCTCTATTTTCAAAAAACAAGTTTATATACATATTTCACTATAAATATCATTTAATAATTATATAACTTGATAAGAATAAAATTGACATACCATGTGGTAGCATCAGAAATTTGATTGAGGATTGAAAATACACTCTAAGAATATTCTCGCATCATTTCCTGTTCCTTTCCAACCCGACAATACATACGTAAACATCATGTAAAATCCACATGCACACATTGCATTTGGGGTTAGCACTTTATGGTTTCCACGATATTGAATTTGATCTTTCTTAGGCACATGTGCAATAGTTTTTCATTAATTGCATCTATACAATCTTATCCAAAAAAACTTGCATAAATTAATATTCATAACTCAAATAAAAAAATAAAATTTTTTTAAAAAAAAATTTGACACACCTTGAAAAAGGGATAGTACTTTGGATTATATGGGAACTCAGGATGATTCATCTCAAATGATGGTTGAATAATAATCTCAGTTCCCAAGTGACAAATTGCTTTCAAATTCTTTCTGAAATTTTATAAGATTGTCTCCAATGAATGCTTCATTCAACAACCACTCTTACACGTTCATTATACGATAAAATAAACATAAATATTGCAAGTTGTTCCTTTACGGTCGGCCATTTTGAGTCTTTCATAGAACTTTTACGGTTCAAAAAGGTAGATAAATTAATGAAAACTTGAGGCTTCATTCTATAATTTTCAAAGCAACGAGTTGGATGTCTTTGTAGTATTTCAATTTCATAATCGTGACCTTGAAGAGTATAAGTTCGACATGGTTCTTTTGTTAAATAATATTTATCATAATCATCAACACAAGTAAGAGTGATTGCTAGTTCCAGTACTTCTTCAGCATCACTATAAAAATCTGATATTGGATCCATATATTATTTACTTAAAATAAGAATGGATTAACAAATAAAATAATAATTGGAGAAATAAACTTTGTAAGAGAAATCTTGAAGATAAAAAATCACAATACTCTTTTTCATATTCAAGCAAAAAAAAAAAAAAAAAAAAAAAAAAAAATCTAGATCCCTCTTAAAACAATTCATATGATCATTAGCAATGCATCAACACATCCATCCAAAGATTCTAAAATCATAAACATGCATCATAATTATAACCCAAGCTGATAAAATGTTAGACAACAATAGCGAATGTGAAAACAAGTAAACATGACACATTTAAAACATAAACACCTAAAATAAGGAGGGCTCATAGCATTCATTGTGATAAGAAAGTAATTTCAGATTAAGAATCCAGCCTTTCCTTTTGTTATCGGGCATATGAAAAAACATCTTCATCAATATTGCATCTTCTTGGAATTTCTCTAAAGCTTTCGAGCAGTTACTATCATCTAGGTCTTCTATTAAATTGAAAAACTTCATACATTCAACCAACAAAGATTCAGAGCTTTCATTAGAAGATCCAATTGAGATACATAATTTCTTTTCTATCATATTGGCCATTCTTTTCGAACTCACACTTAAAACTTAAAGTGTAGACGCAATCACTGAAATTGTTGTCTTCTTCGCACGTTTAACCGATAATTTTCCTTTATTCTTCTCCTCTATAGGTTTATTTCACTTTCTCCAATCTCATCTTCTTCCTCAGTGTCCGAAGGGATTCTAGACCCGGTAGAAGAATGTTACATAATTCCCATTGCAGTTGTGTCACCATAAATACGACAATGGACTTGTACATTAAACATCCTTTTTCTGAAATATTTTTGCACTTTTATTGACATATATTTTGGTAAATAAATATTATGATTAATAAAAATGTGTAAATAATAAAATATAAATTTTTGATTAAATATAATATAAAATAAATAACTAATATAATTTGACCCATACATCTTCAGATGTAATCACTTGACCTATTGTTGAGTTATAACCAATTTCAATCTCCTTCAATAATTTTGAAAATTTTCTTCAACGATCTCAAAGCGTATCGAAATTATGTCTTAGTTGTTCATGTTTGTATTTTCTTTTTTTAGATGATTCAAGTCCTTGCTTAATGTGTGACCATGCAGCTAGGCTAAAAGTTGTTGTTTGTCTATTCTCATTAACGATTTCAATCTCCATGAGTTCAATGAAGCTTTATGCATTTCTATCTGACCATACTACATCTCCAATGATTTCAATTACACCATTGTTATCCATGATTCAACTTAACACATGAGAAAGAAATGTCAAGTCAATTTTCATTAAATAATTATGTAGATTACACTTGAAAGTTTTTTACATGCATTATTAGTATCATTTGAAGGCAACTATTTCATATACATAACACACAATTCCAATGCATTTATATATATGACCATCATCAACTTTAAAAGAAAGGACAAAAGAAAGGAAGATATTAAAAATAAGAAAGGAGAAAATCACAAGATGATGCTTGTAAGAGGGAAGATATTAAAAATAAGAAAAAAAGAAAATCGCAAAACCCAAGCCAACAATAAATAGCTCTATTTTCAAAATAACTCTATGTTTAAATAACTCTAGTTTACCTAATTTGAGTTGAAGGGTTTGTCTGCAAAAAAGATTTTTGCCTTCTTCAACGTAGACGGTGACAGTAAAGTGCGGAGAGCAGAGGAAAGAGAGTAAAGAGAGCAACGATCAAGCGGAAACCTTGTAGACATTGGGATCTAATGAGCTGATAAAATTCAAAGAGAAGGAAATAAACAAAGAGAGAGATAAAACACTTTTGAGGTTTAAATTAAAACAAAGTTTAATATTTTTTAAAAATAGCTGAGAAAAAGAGTATAACTTATTACGTAAACATCAAAGCAAGGAAATAGTTAGAAATTCTCAGAACAAAACATTCTGCTATGAATTTCTAAAAACCATCTGAACTCATCGACAACCACTACTTAATAATGGTGAGAAAAGTGGTTCATGAGAGAAGACGAAAAGGAAGAGGGCCAGCAAGCGAAGGAGTTTCGGTCACAAAGGAGAGTTTCGTGCCGAGAGGGAACGGGGCCGACGAACGAGGAGTTTCGGTCACGAAGGTGAAAGGAAAGGGGTCGGTGAGTGAAGGCATTCGACATTGTCGACTATTGTGAGGGAGACGAGCGAGCGAAAGGATATTTTCGGTGTTTTAAAAATAGACAAACATGCGTTTTTTCTTGTTTTGAGCATTTTAAAAATAGTGGTGTCTCTCTACAAATAAAAAACAGAAAGAAAACAAAAAACTGATAAATAAATAATATTTTTTTGTTTGTTTCTTATTTCTTGTTTTAAAAAATAAAAAACAAAAAAACAAAAATTGATCCAAAACAATCCCTAAATTTTAATGTAATATGAATTTTTTTAATGAAAAAATATCTTCAATATTAAATATAAGGCTTATATTATAAATACCATATGAGAATTATTAAAAATATGCATTTGGTCTAACTTGTCAAGGATTTTAAAAGAGCCATCTTTTATACTTGAGGGTATTCCTTTCAAGTCTAATTCTATTAATAATATATTCACACTCATCTTTTATACTTGAGGGTATTAAAAATATGCATATGCATTTTGCATTCTTAAATTTCTTTATAGGCCTAACATATTTAATATTGCTTTTATTCAATTTATCTCAAATTTTCATGAAGGCCTATCCTTAACAAATGTGAATCCAAATTGCAAAATGCATGATAGAAAGCTCAACAAAATCCTTTAGCCTTTCAGGGTTGTAATCATATACTATTTCAAATATTGTCTACAGCATAGTTCTAAAAATAGTGTTATAATAAGCAAATTCTGATGTAGCAAAGTATAAATCCTAATTAACTAAACTCTTCTCTACTAAACATCTAAATAAATCACTAAAACTCTATTGACTACCTCTATTTTCCCATCAGTTTGTGAGTCAAAATTTTAAGACAATTTGTATTGAGAGGCATCATCAATGATATCCTTAATGTGCTCATCTTCTTGATCATCTCACTCTTTCATAAATAATAATTCAGCTTTGCTTGCATATGTCCTTTTGTATTGAAACATATAATCTTCTTATTATTTCTTAAGACAGACTCTATAATAGACTTAGTGCCTTGAGCACTACCAATAGAAGGATTAGATTTATTAGTAGGTCTCGAGAGATAATGCGGCAGATTGTGTTCTAATCCTAGTGATGGGGGAATCCTTTTTCTACTTCTCATTCCTAATCTCCATCCCAAGGCCTATAACAAGTTTGTTGGCGTTGTATTAATCAACATTGGTACATTTTGTTCCGGTCATCAAATTTTTATCACCAAATTCTTATAAGTATTTGAGTACTTAGTCACCTCTTTAGCCCCTTGCTTAAGTGTCGCCAACTATCCGTAGAGCATTTTATCATGATATCTTAAACAAAATTTTGACCTTAGTATTTCCATTGCACCATATAAGCCTAAATTCATAAATTTTTATCTAGCGTCAGCTTCAAATCCTAAAGGATTTCTAGGACAACTGCAAAATAACTACATAACATCTAAACATAATATTTAATAAACTCGTCTTAAAAAATGGTAAACCATACCTCTGAGTGATGCTCCAAGCCTCCTTCCAACTCAAGCCCTTCGAGTCAATTAGTATCCGCATCAGTTCAGGAATGCTTAGCGTAGGATGAGTATCATTCATCTGAATAGCTATTTTACTAGTAGGAAATTCCTCCCAATTGACTGAATTTTCTGATCTTCTCTCAAAACAAGAAATAATATTTTGCAGAGAAGCAGAGCACAAGGTGTACTGCTGTTTTAAACGAAGAACTTTACCCTCCTCTGATTCATCTCCAGGATATAATACATAGCAAATCTGATGTCCAAAAAAGGGGAAATAAATGTTCATATGAATCATACTAGCTTGTAGAACCAGATTAATTAGTAGAAATTCATCTTCAATTTCTCCATTCTTTTAATGTTCGCCCTTTAATGGTTTCATATATCAACATGATGCTAAAAAAAAGCTTAAAATTTGCGCCTTAATACTTTTGCGACATTTTAAAGCAAAGTAGAAATAGTTTCAACTTGCATAAATCTTGCTCTCAAATTTAACAAGGCTCGACAAACATTTCAAGTAAGTGCGCACTGATCCAAACAATTATGCAGTTATTACAATAAATACAAATTACAATGGAACTAAAAACAGATAAGGTAGCCCACACAATGCATGCAGTTAAGAAAGACATGGCACGGAGTGATAGAATTAAACCTTCTCAGCATTTGCATGAGCTTCATTTGCTTGGTTATGTTTCCCAGCAATAAAAGCTTCCAAATCAAATTTTTTTGCGGGAACTTTTGTTGACCATAGACGAAGGTTAAGAGTGGTTTTTGTTTTAAATCCAGGTATCGGAATGTCATAGGCAATTGCTTTTATGTTCTCTCCGCCAATCCAATGTTTTCTTCCATCAGAACCTAAAACTACCTTTCCATAGAATCTCACAGGATATGAGACATCATGTCTCACAATTTCCCAAGGATTTCCCATCTGCAATGATAACCCACATTTCATAGATAAACTAAAGAAGAATAAAAATCAACTTCAACTTATCAGAAACAAATACTGATAAGAATACCTCAAGCCAACTTTCAGCAACCTCCTCTTGACCATCTTTTGTAATAGTTTGTTGGAACAAACCATACTTGTATCTAAGCCCATAGCCCCACGCCGGATAATTCAAGGTAGCAAGAGAATCCAAAAAACATGACGCAAGACGTCCGAGCCCACCATTCCCCAAGGCAGCATCTGGTTCCTAGAAGTGCAAGTAACGAGGTAACTAACAAGATTAACTGACCAAGTGTTATTCCTTTGCTCTGCTACCTTTGATAATGCAGGAAACATGTTTTTATTCACCATATAAATTTTCGGCATTTACAAACATAGCACATAGTTTTTGTGTATTTACATATCTCACACCTATACTTTCATATTTACACACATAACACTCAAATCTTCAATATCACATAAAAAAAAGCACTAAAACTATTTTCTAAAAGTGAAATACACCTTTTTATGAATTTGTTTAATGCACCAAAGTGCTATGTATGTAAATATGAAATTTTAGTCGTGAGATATGTAAATACATAAAAAATGTGTGCTATGCATGTAAATTTCCCTATAAATTTTTAATGGAAGAATAAAAATACGTTCTGACCTGTGTAGCAACATTCTCAAGTTTGTGCCCAAGCTTGCTCAATGCCTCAGCATATTGGCCAGTTAGCTCCAAATTACCAATTGCATTCAAGAGAGCTCTACCCTGCATTGTATATAGAGTAAAAGACGGACATAAAGCTATTAACAAATAGCTTAGTTGAAGTGGTTATATATTAATCAAACCTGCAGGAACTCCATGGACAAGTAGTAAGCTTGTTTCATGTTTAAGCTTTCATAGTAACTATAAGTTGCATTCCAGTTTTTGATTAACTTGTCACGAACACTCTCAGCCGTTGCAAAGTAAGCTTTGTGCAGGTGAAAATTCCCAGCGGAAAAAGAGGGAGTAAGCTCGGCATGGTATAGGATACTTGATGTAATTGTAGAGGCATCATGTACAGAAGAGCTTAAAGCTTCATGAAAAGCTGTATAGCAGTTTTAAGAAGGTCTTGTAAAGCCATGAAAATGAAAAATCACAGTACATCAACATAGAATAAAAAGTAGGAAGCTCTCACTTCTTCATTATAGAAAGCAGCTAAATATTAATAACATAAAAAAAGTTCATTCTTACTCAGGCCACCAAATGAGCTTCTGTGAACATGCTAACCCGACAAAATGGGAGAACTTACACTTACACTAGTCAAAATTAAAATTTTCCAATTATTTTTAGTTATCACAATGGAACATTCAGAAGAGTACCATAAAAAATCACATGAAATAACTATAAAAAACTTGTATAGGTTTAGTTCCATACATTCTATGACAGTTCTACTTTTCTTGGAAGTAAATTGAATGCTTTCAACTATATTATAATGAATTTTGCAAGAAGGACGTGTCTTTTAACATTAAAGAGTGTATTTGTAAAGATTTGTCTCAATTAAAAAATATAGCAATGAAATTTTGGAGATTGAGTATAGCTAATAGCAGCAAGTAAGCTTTTTTGTGTGAAAAGCCTCCTCGTCTGAAAGCTCATAAAGCAAGAAAGGTTTTTCCCTAAAAAGTCATTTAGGTTCGTGTTGTCTACACAAGCAATCAGGATCAAGTTAAGGGATGCAAAAATTACAAGTTTGAATTGCTAATATTCGGAATTTCTTTTCTACCATTTTTTTTTTACAAACCAAGCCAAACAAGTACAGATAATGTACTCGAACACAACGAATTCAGTACATAAAATAACGGGTGTTTTGTCCAGTAAGCCTACCATTTTTATGCTTGCACATTTATAATTGAGAACTGAAGCTGGGAGACTTAAACCTAATTTCCTGATAATCTAACTGATAAGTGATAATGTCCAGATTGCAATTTGCATTGTCAAAATGAGTGGTAAAGACCCAGCTTTAACTCCCAATATCAGATATAATTTTTGTTTTAAAAGGAGTTTGACATATGCATTTGATATGCTTATAACTAAAATAGACGCAAAGAACAAATTAATTAATAGTTCGGATCAAAGCCAGATTCTTATCGTCCAAATACTGAAAATGGATGACAAATGACTCAATTGGACAAGAAACCAAGGATTGCATGACTCTATAATGCTAACAATCAAATTAAGTGTCAATAAAATAAGAACAAAAAAAAAAAAGCCTCAAAATCATGAGCCGACCATTCCCAATCAAAATAACAGGCCTTGTAAGCTGGTTAGCAGAGAAGGCCACATGAAATCAGGATATTAGTAAGAACTCATTGAATATTCACCGAAAGGATACCTTCTTCGGAGACGGGATCTTTGACCTGACGCTCGCTGGCAACATGGGGGAGTCGATAAGGAAGCCGGAACGGGCGGAAGAAGTGATTGGGGCCGCTGATTCTCTTCGGCCCTGGTACGGATGGACAGTAAATAAACCTGCGATGATCGGAGAAAGAGAAAGGGACAGAAGGAGTTGCAAGTGCCGGAGGAAAGGGAGTGGAGGCCATGAAAGACAGCCTCCGCAGGTCGGCCAATAGAGTGAACTGAAGATATCTGTGTCTACTTCACTCTCTGCAATTACATCCACACCTATACTAACATATTCAAGATTTTTAAGTAGAGACCAATGATTGATTAGTCTACTAGTGATAGATATTTTCACACAAAAGCCATTATTATAAATTAATCTCATAAACATATCTGAGATATAGACTGTTTGAATTTCTCAAACTCTTTTATTATTGTAATATTATATACATTGCAATTCACTATTTCTAGTTACATGTATTATTGGTTTCAATTGACTGTTTTATCTAAATGTTTGAAGAAGAGAACTATCATCATAATTTCTAATTTTCTCTCAAGTAATGAAAGCAATAGAAAGTTAGATGCCATTACTTGGAATATCATTACTATGTCTAAGCATAATGATGGTCTTGGTATCCATTCTTTGGATAATATTAATGCCTTGTCTGAGTCCAAAATTTTTTGTAACAATAACTCTTACCTATTTAGACGAGGTTTTAATCATTATGGTTCCATTTAGTATAATTCTTATGCTTTGTGTTCTCATTTTCTTAAAAGATTTTGTTAAAATTGTCCAGAAGATAAAGATTTACTTAAACTTTCAAGTTAATAATAATAATAATAATTTATTGTTCTTTCATGATCCTTGGCTTTATGCATTGTCCCTTAGAGATCATTATGGTGATATTATTTTTAATTGATTTAATTTTCCTAAGTATGTTTTGTTCAAGGTTGTCGTAATTGATGGAAGTGGAATTTATTTATTCTTATGAAAGTTTTTGGTCGTTTTCTTAATGATATTAATAACATTTCTATTATTTGGTGGGATGTTTGTTTTTAGAATAATAAAAATTATTATTCTCATAAGTTTTTTTATTCATCTTTGTATGATTATTTTCCTTATCTTGGTTGGTTTAAACTTATTTGGAAAACTACTCATAAGGGTATGAGAATCTGTTATATTCTTTCTTGAAGAATGATGAAGGTTAACAATATGTCTTATGTGATAATATTTTTGAGTCTCTATATTAACTTTATTTTGAATGTTCTTCATCTCATTCTCTTTCTCATATGTATAAGTCTAATGAGAATTTCTTAGTATCAACTGTTAATATTTTTCAAGTTTTATATTATTCTGGTAAAATATGATGTGAAATTCAGAAAATATTTCATCTTATAGCCATGTAATTTATTACTTATTATAGTTGGTTTGAGTAGAATTTGAGATTTTAATAATATTCTTTCTTGAAGAGGGATGAATGTTAATAATGTGTCTTATGTGGTAATATTTTTGAGTTTTGGTATTATCTTTATTTTGAACGTTCTTTATCCCATTCACTTTCTAATAAATATATGTCTAATGAGAATTTCTTTACACCCAGTGCCAATATTTTTCAAGGTCTATATTATTCTGATAAAATATCATGTGAAATTCAGAAAAAGATTTCATTTTATGGTTATGTAAGTTATTACTTATTACATTTGGCTTGAGTATAATTCGAGATTTTTTTGAATAAATTATTACACTTTGGATGGTCTTATTCATTATATTCAGTGGATGATTAATTTTAAAAATAGGAATTGGAAATTCAAAAGGTCTATTTCTTATTATATCATAAATTTTTATAATTTTTAATTCTCTACCTCCCTTGTTGTTTTTTATTTTGTTTTTATTTTGTTCTTATTGTTTCTTGAGTATTTCAATCTTTTCTTCTTTATGTTTCTTTTTTTTTTCTTAGATTTTGTTGTGTTTTTTTTTCTTTTGGTTAGATTTTTGTTGTGGAGTTTTCTTGATCTCCTCTCTTTTCAATTTATTAGCTATTTTACCGATTTTTCAGAAATTTCTCTTTGTATTTTTATTTTTCTAGTTATTTTTGGTTGAGCTATGATGTGCCCCTATTTTTACTCTGAATTTTAACCATTCTTTGAAAAACTTCTTGGGTTTTCATCTATTTTGTTTGAGTTATTAAACTTGAATGAAAGCTTGTTCAATCGTATAATGAATTTAACTAGAAATAGTTGAATTTTTTGTCTTGATTACTTTTATGATGAAGACAACTTCGCATGGAAGTGTTAGAGATGTTTTGAGATTTCCAAGTACAATTAATTGTTTCAATTATTCTTTTTTAAACCAAGAATTTTTTCATTGAATTTGGATGAAATCTTCTGGTTTGGGACATGGATTTGGCTGAGTTTTTTATCCTTTTATTTTAACTATTTTTCTTTTATTTTTCTCTTTGTTTTGTGATTCTTTATCTTTATTATTATTTTGCTTTGATTATTGTGCTGGTTCTATCGGTTCTAAGTTTCTAGTTTTTTTCTTTTTTTATTTTGATTATTACTTTTGGTTTTTTTCGCTGGTTGTATTGGCTTGTCTTGCCTGGTCTATTTGAGATGCTTTGGTTGTATGGCTCTTTATAGCTCTATCTTCTTATCAACTACAGTTGTTGTTTGGTAGGGTTTATGTTTGGGAGTTCTACTGTTCATGCTCTCTTGTTGACCTGCTATTTGAGTTGTTTTTGTAGTTTGGAGTTTTGGAACTTTATCTAAATAAGTTTTTTCTACATGTTGATTGCATATGTTTTTGCTTGTAGCTATTTGTTTGGGGACTTTCTTGTTATCAAGCTAATTGAGTATTTGTTGTAGTTTGGATCTTCAAAGCTCTTTCTCTATTTGGTGGTTTTTCTTCATGGTGTTGCTTTTTGAAAGGTTGCCTTCATCCTCCTATGATGAGCTATTGTTTGGATGATGGTTGAAGTTGGTTTATGTTTTTCTCTTTCTTCTCTGGTAGTTCAAAATATTTTGATATTGGATGTTCTGATATTCTTATTATTCTTTGGAAGTTTGACAAATGTTTGGAGATGATCGTTGTTCTTCTACCGTGCTTAACTTGCTACTTTTCTTAGGTGCCAAATTTGAAAGGTTTTCTTTCTTTTTGTTGTTTTGACTTCTTCTCTAAAAATAACCTTAAGATTTTCACACAAAACTTTTGTGCTTTTTAGGGCGAGGACTTTTAGTCCTACATCGAGAAATAATGATATTAGTTGTGGGCTTGAATGTTTGAAGGCCCCTGCTTGGAAATTTTGGGCTGATCAGATCTGCCCATGGATAACAAACGTAGCCCATAAAATTAAACCACCAAAAATAAATAATTTTTAAGCAAATTTTCTATGCATCAAGGTTTTTGAAGTACTTTCTTATATAACAGTTGAAATGTTTATAAAAATTAATTACTATATTTATATCTCTGTATTAACGCTTTCTATGCCCTTATTTATGTTCATCTTTACCATATTTTCTTATTGAATTTAAATTTATTTACAACTTGCATTTGGTCATGCTCTCCAGTTCGATGTTTAGTATAGTTTATAATGTTTTATAACTATCACACTTTGTACGTATTATCCACTAAAAAATTGGTTAAGTAAAATGTTGTAATCACATATAAATTATATATAAATTATATATATATATATATATATATAGGGTGCCATGTCTTCTTCCAACTTTCTATTATCAATTATCCTAAGGTTTTACAATGACAGCAAAATACGAAAGAAGGGATTAAATTAGAGAATAATTACATGAATTTTCTTAATCATTAAGTGTCTTCAGAATTATATAGCTGAAAATTTTAGGCAGATTTACATACATACTACTCAATTATTATGTATTTATTTATCTAACATCTAAATATTAGTTTTTTACGTATATGTCATTTGATTTGTACATGAAAATATGTACTTCAATTTTTAGAAATTAAAATGGTGGTATTTTTTTGAAATATGAAAGATTTAGGTGGTATAAATGTAAAGAGTAGAATTTAGGTGTTAGATATAGTCTGAGGGTTATGTATGTAAATGCCCCAAAATTTTTATATTAATACGTAATTTTCAATATTAGACGATCATATTATTTGCTTTCTATTTAGACTAATTCTTTTTCTCTAAATCAATATAAAACTAATATTCTATGCGTTGCTGTTCAGGACTTCCCTTCAGCGTTATTTAAAATAAATATTTATATGGGTGATAAGGTGATCGAAAATTAAAAAAAATGGGGGGCAATTACATAAATAACATTAAAATCTTCACTATTTACAAATGTATCCTTTTTTATCTTCATTTTTTTTTAAATTTTTTTATCAAAATATTAAAATAAGTCCGGATTCATAAAAATGACGTGGAATCTAGGCAAATCTTCCAGCATTAAAATTTATAATAAAATTTTAACTCGTCTTAATTTTGAATCAATATATAAATTACCGCTCATATTAATTAATTATTTAATATGCCGGCATTTTGAGGGGGACATAAAAATACAATATCAACTTTTATTTCTAAAATTCTATCAAAATTTTAATATTTTAGTCGCAGAACGTGCAGAATGAAGATGATTGATTTTTTTTCTAGTTTGGATGATAATTTTATAAAGATATTTGATTACGCATAGGTATTAATTTTTTAATTATTCCATTAAATAATAAAAACAATGTTGAATTTGTCGGTCAGGTCGTGCCAAAGAAATAGAGTGTAAGGCTGAGGGAATAAAAATGTGGGTGAGAGAGAAAGACTTACACCATTGGGGGTAAATCGGGGTAGTCTTGGGCTCATGGACCTATTTGATTCTATGAAATTATAGCTTCAGGGTAAGTGGAGCCAAAAACCTCTTTACATGAAATAACCATCCGACGTATAGATGATAGAATGACCCATCTGGGATGTTAAATCTCAATCTATTTGGTAAAGCACACCCAAGGAATAGATTGTAAGATCGAGTGAAAAAGAACGTTGGAGAGATAAAGAAAGACATGCACATTCGGAGGCTAATCAGGGTGTTTCTGGGCTCATTGACCCATCTTATTCCATTATATTAGAGCTCATAAGTGAGGGAAGCCAAAAGCCCCTTTACATGAAAGTACTATCATTTTTATAGATAATAGGATGACCAAAAAATAAATTACAATATTACCCTTACTTTAAAATGGTGGTCCTGGATATTTTAGTCTTTTGTATTGTTGTGTTATACTAAAATGTCATCCGTCGAAGTCCTCCATCAGGGGTAAAAGT